ATCGATGAAGTGTCATCAGTTGCCGAACATGCACCGATGGGAATCTTTAGGCAACCGATTAATATGGTACGTGCGGAGTCTCGCACTCCGATCCTTCCGATCAGTGCAGCATGTCCGTTCGTCCATCCACGTGCGAATCTTGTCGATCCCCTTTATTTTCATATGCAATTGGTCCGAGTCGGTGCTCTAGTGATCAGTCCTAGTGCGCAATTGATTCGAGCTCGAGCGCAGTTGGTCAGATCCTGTGGCCTCTCATCCGAGCTCGCGCGCAGCCGATCAGAGCGTGTACATCCCCGATTCGCGCCCTTACCTCTTTGGTGAGAGCTTATGCGTTGCCTCGTACCCCTTGTGCTGGTCCCCAGAAGGAGCTTGTTGATTCCCACCTTGCGCACCCGGATCGTGCACCCTCGGTGCACAAATTGTACCTGTGCGCTGGTCTGTACACAGCTGCAGGGGCGTCCCAAACGCTCCCAGCCCCGCGTACTCCCATCCTTCATGAGTTAGCCCGTCGCGGCTAACCAGTACGCCAATTCCTACCATGCGCAAGGCGTCCCTCCCCGGGAAAATCCCCGATCCTGGCCCCAGTTGGGCTTATATAGTTCGCTGGGCCCAGCGTCACAAGGCTCCAGCGGCCCAGAATGCTGCCAAAGTTGGGAACTTTGCAGCGCCCCGGTACCAGGGCTGCCTCCCGAACCTAGTTCCGGCCTGTTTGGGTCCCGAATGGTCACATGCCAACTGAAAAGGGCTCAACTGTCGGGAATCTTGAAGGCCCGACACCGGTCCTCTTTTTCGAGGTCGTCCTTCGGCTGTAGGGCCCGGCGTTCTTTCGTAAGTGTCGACTCACGTCCCAAATGCGAAGGCCTCATTAGAGTCGGCCTAGCAAGTATTTACATTTTTGGCCCCGCGGCGATTTCCCATGAACGTTGACACTTTAGTTTCCCCAAGTATCCATCACAAGATTCGGATGCTCCTTCTCGTTTCACACGTCGCCAAGGCTCGAGTATGAGCCTAGATGCGTTGTCCTCAACATTCGGCTGAGGCTTCCGACTTTCCTCCTCATGTCACGACATTTCGACGCTTCCCTGATAATAAAAATCCTTAGTGTCCGTCGTAAAAGGCCCCCTCTGAATCAGCGAACCGCGCTTTCCCGGTGCCCCGGCCCTAATGTAGTCCCTCCGTCGAAAATTCTTATGGACAAAGGTGGCCAAATCTGTCATAGTGATCGAATCCTGTTCCCGCCAAATGCCCTCCTCAGGGAAGTAAAGGGCGGCGTAAGGCTGGAGCCGCCAACACCGTGACCACCCCCTTGACTTCCTCCCCCCTCTGCAGGATCACCCACGCCCATCGCCCCCGTGAATCATAATACCAGTTTGTGACCTCCCCCTAAAGTAGGGGGATTCATGAATGGAAACTCCTCCTTTCGTCCTCTGCGCCAGGGCCCCAGGGGTGTCCCCTCCACCATAACGTCGGTTCCGCTGACTTAGCCGCATTCAATTTAGTCTCCTGGAGACAGACAACGTCGATCTGTTTCGTTCTCACCTTCTTCGCCAGCTCCCTGCGCTTGGATAAAACTGATCTTGCCCTCATACATCTGGCGTTCCATGTGATAATCTTCAGCCGATTACAATGTCCATGTACCACCATCCGTCCTAACTCCTACTAACCCCCCTATCTCTACCAGATCCTTCTCTCCCTCCTCCGACCCTATCTGGGTTGGTCATTCTACCATTCCCTTTGCCAATTTACACTATTTTTATTGCTGGGGGGTGTCACTCTTCCCATGACACCCTACAGGATAATAGTATCTACACCTTTCATTCCCCTTTCTCCCATATCCCAATCCCCTCCCGAAAGTGACGATTGCCCACATGCTCCTCCCAGGGGAGACACACATTGACGCTGTTAAGGATGGCCAAAGATGTGTGTATGATGTGAAAATCTTGTGGAAGCGCAGCTGGGCCAAAAGCTTCAGAGAAGTCAATCCACCGCATACTTCTGCATTGCAATCTCGGACTGCACGGTTTTCTTGGGGATGGCCTCAACAAAGTATATGATAACTGCGTACTCTGTCCCCTCGGTCGTCTGTCGGATAAATTTGAATGCTGAGAGGCCGGGCAGTGGTAAAATTTCGTATTTCGTTACAACCCACTGGTCCACATGCTTCAAAACCGAGCGCTCTTGCGGCAAATTGTTCACACTGAGGATCGACACTTCTGTTGACACATCCATCGGCATCTTAAACTCATCTCGCTTCCTTCACAAGGTAATGGGGCAAATATAGCACTCCCCTTCTTATAGAACGACCTCAAATCCGCCTCGGCCCGCTCTTGTCGCGTTAGCTCCGTTAGCGGGTTCCGTTGCTGCCGGTCATCGCCCCCTTCCCCCATGTCCCCCCTTGTACTGTCCACTGTGCCTCGTGCAGCTTGACTATCCCCCTCGTCCCCCCCTCCTCCTGCTGCTGCAGCCTCACGAGCACCTGCAGTCGGACTCTCCTCCACCTCATCCTGCTGTGTTGATTGCTGTCCTCTCACAGATTCTCTTCATCCTCCCCCCCTTCATGCTCCCCTTTCTCTTGTTCTTCCACATTGCCCCCCGTCTTGTAGTGAAACGATATTCACCAGTTCTCAGTAGCCGATGCAGATCCCAGGGCTTGATCCCTAGTCCTCACCTTACCTGTGTATAGTATCTGTGTCGACCCCTAGAGTTGAACCCGTGACCTGTGTATTGTAACAGTTGGTAGACTGTCGTAGGGTCCGTAGGCAGTAGGGGTTCGATTCGTAGACCTGTCGGGTAGGAGTCCTAGCAGGGTCTAGAAGTCGTAGCTGTAGTTCTCCCGTAAGCTCAAGGTCGTAGCTGCTACAGTCCAGAAAGGTCAAGGTCGTAGCTGCTACAGTATCGAAAGGCCAAGTCTACGGCCTTCCGGAAGGTCCGAGTAGTGGCCTTTCGAAGTTGCCCATGTTTAGGCTGAGGCAAGTGGGCAAGTGGTGGAGTCTACCCGTGCTGAGTCAGCAGTCCCAGTCCCAGTCAGTCCTAGTCCAGTCAAGCAAGTACCGCATCGGACTGTGTGCACTACGGGCATGGGAAAGGGCCAGACCAACGAGCTGCAAAAGTATAAATCAAAGGGCAGCGCCCAGCCATTCGTTCATTCCTGCGTGAGCCATGCGGAAGCGCTGCCACAACGACTTGTGCGAGGTGGTCTGCAGTGAGCCTGAGGACGAAGTGGGTGAGAGAGAAGAAGCTTAGCCATAGCAATAGGGTAGCAGCGGCCATAGCCGCCATAGCTGTAGATAGCGTGCAGAGTACGTGTGCACAGAGTAACGCGTGTGGGATATCCAGGGTGATCCTGTGTGTGCGAACAGAGAGTTGTGTGGGCGCTGTGTCGCCATAGCCATTGAAGTGAACTTGTATCTGAATTGTATTCTCGGCTACCATATCTCTGAGTTCTGAGTGGGCGCTTGTCGCCAGTTTGCTGCACACCTGTTTGCATGCATGAGAAGTGTGAAAGATAGCGAGTCTGATTGCATTGGTATCAGAACTGGTACCCGCTATTCCACACGCCATCGCCGAGTGTCGTAGGGGAGAGTTGCACGCCTGGCAGGGCGCCCTAGCCGAAGTGCACCGCTGGAAAGAAGTCCGCCATAGCGGATCCGTGAAGTGAGGACCAACGCCGCGCGACCTGCAAGGAGACAACGGAGAGAGAGAGAGAGAGAGAGAGAGAGAGAGAGAGAGAGAGAGAGAGACACGATTGGTTTACTACGTACCTGCGGCGCTGAAGACATCGTTACGGAGGGAGAGAGAGAGAGAGAGAGAGAGAGAGAGAGAGAGGTTGAGCGATACAAGATTGGTTGTCACGTACCTGGAAGATTGTTGTGTGGTCCATGAAGTAGAAGGCGGCCATAGCCGCTGAGCTCGAACCACGGAGTGACGAAGAAGGGGGATATGAGAGAGACGGACGGGGAGACTAAGGAAAGGAGAGAAGTGAAGCGGAGGAAGGACAAAGACGAGTACAAAAAAAAAAAAAAAAAAAAAAAAAGGAAGAAGAAGATAGCCGTGGTGAAAGGAGGCGAGGAAGAAGAAAGGAAAGAGAAGGTTGGTGAGGGAGAGAGAAGCCGACAGCCATAGCCGAAGCTGACGGGCGTTGACCGGGTGTTGACCGGGGTTGACAGGCGTTGACCGGGGTTGACAGGCGTTGACCGGGTGTTGACCGGGGTTGACAGGCGTTGTTTGGAAGTTGACCGGGGGTTGACCACAACGTTGACCAAGCGTTGACCAAGCGTTGACCAAGCGTTGACCAAAGCGTTCACCAAAGCGTTGACCAAGACTATTGAACACGAATTTGACCAAGCTGGAGCCGGCATAATCTCGCCAAGCCTTCAGCCTATCCSCTCGCCCTATGGATGTGCACACACCCTGTGGTACTTGCTGAGTCAAGTCTGTCTGTCTCTTCTTTCTGCATCGAGTCTCTTTTGTCCAGGTGATAGGAACTCTGTGGATGAAGGATAGGGCCTTGTTGACCAAACCCACACGGGCTGAGTAGGGCTAAAGACTGTGTCTGACGACTGGACTGTCCCAGAGGACACGAACCCTCCCAAGGACCGGTACTGACCGGCGGGCTGCTCGGTGTGGCACGGTAGGGCCAAAATCCGAGTTGTGGGCTGCACAACAGGCCGTCTACGTCTTGAGAGGACTTGCTGATTGCGTCGTCCTGTTTGCGATGTTAAAGAATTCCTGAGGAGTTATGGGGGATCTCCTTAAATGCCTCCTGATCAGTAGTGAAGTCCTGTAGTGACAACCATAGTTTAGGTCTAGGCGAGTGACCCTAGTTGACAGAATCTTGTCCAAGATTCTGTGGTTCTTTAGAATTGAGTCAGTAGGTTTGTTAGTCAGGGGGAGTAGAGTCTAAGTGGTGAGGAGTGGAACCATTGTCTGGTTGAGCACCTATCACCATGGTTAACACCCGTAGTGGGAAGAGTACTACCCCCCAATCCGAGACCGAGCAGGCCCGGATCGCCGCCACTTTGAGAGAGGGAAAAGTGAAGAAGGAGCTCCTCAGGCAGGCGAAGATGAAGGCCATTGAAGAGGAGCAGACGGTGAAGAAGAAGAAGTTGGAGGAGGAGCTGAGAAGACTCCAACAAGAGGAGGAAGAGAAGGAGAAGGCTGCTGAAGAAGAAGTGGCAGCCGAAGAGGAGGAAGAAGAAGAAGCAGAACCCCTCGAAAGGAGGCGTAAGGGAAAGAGGAGAAAGCAGTGGCACGAAGGCAGAAGATCCCTGGATTGAGAAAAAGATTAGTGAGTGGGTAACTAATCTAAGTTTGGGAGAAGAAGAGGAGGCGATGTTATATGTTCCGCAGGAGGAGAAGGATGTTGCAGTCAGGGAGTTTGAGGCAATGGACAATCCCCTGGATCGCCAGGCGCTAGAGAATGAAAAGAAGCTAGAGTGGAAATTGTGTCTGGCGAGCGAGAAGAAAAGGAGGAGGGAGGAAGCCAACCGGATGGCAAAATAGATGATCCTCACGTTAGAAGAAGGTGGTACTGATGAGGTCCCCTACAGCCAGATAGAGTGGGGACTCGAGGAGGAGGACAGTGGTGTGGGCAAGGGGAGGACCTATGCTGCTATCACGGCTGGAGGGAGGCCGCAAGGTAGAGGGGGCCAGGGCCAAAGGGGCCAGGCCTATGGTGGCCGAGGACAGGGCGCTGTCGAGCGCATCAGTCCGGCACCGCACAGGGCAGTGCGCGACCCTCCCGGCCGCGTCACGCAGGAGTTGGTCTTTAATCCTCGTCGCGAATATACATGGAGCTTCCGCAAGCCGCTCCGACCGAGTGCGCCAGCCATACCTCTCGCGAGCCCCTACGACAGGATAGGGCCTACGCGAGGCTTGACTCACCTCCACCTTACGGGAGTTGTCACCTCCCTTCAGCGGGAGTATCCCCGTCGAGCTACCAGTCCACCGTACGAAAGCTAATTAGCTGCAATCGCAGAGGTGGACCAGTCGAGGGCGTTTCTCGTTCGCTGTAGCATAGGGGGTACGAGCGGTATTACACCTTTATCGAACCCGCACGCGAACCGGCATCTTGGGGGGTTGAGGTCCCAAGCGAGACTCGTCGCCGGTCGACTAGGACGTATCCCACATGCCACACACACACCACTTTAAAGAACATAAAAATAAAACACACACACACCCACGCACGTACGTATACAAACACAGAACGACTCAGAGCTAACAACGCGAAAACACTCATAGTACCTTAGTAGCCATCCCATAACTCTCCGATGCGGAAATCGGATAGGCGTCCCGCGCGAGACTTAGTATAAAACCGCGCGAACGCAGGGCTAACTCATATCGACTCGCAATGCAAGCATAAGCAAGCAGTCGCAATGGTGCGTACTATGTAGTAGCCATACTCATGCGGTCCTCGTTAATCTCGAGGGTCGCATTCGACACTCACGTGTCGGCTGACACGCGCCTTGAGGGAATGATCTCTCGACGCTGGACAACCGCCAAGTGCAATTGAAAACCACACCCTCTTCTGTGCCCTGCGGAGAGTGGGTGGTACACAGGTTCATGCCTGTGGTGGCAATCGTCTCTTATGGCCCTGGAGACCAACTCCATCGTCCAGGGTCTGGAAAGAAGTCAAGGGGTTTGACTATGACGCCACGGACTACAACGTCCAGCTATAAAAATTAATAAGCAAAATCCAATCAATAAATAAGTAAACACTCAACATTGCCATATCAAATCAGAAATCGAGATAAAATAAAAGAAGTGGGAAACAAAAAACCCATCAGGTATGCAGATCGTGTGTCACATGGTTGTCATTATCACTGCCTCCAAAGTATGGCCCATATACCAAGCTCCAAAATACTAACCTACATAAAACACAGGCATACACAATAGCCATATTGCCATACACCAATGTGGTCAACTTTGTTGTTCCCTGTAACTCACACCACGCCTCACACACTCAAGCCCCAGTCATAGTCAAAATCTCCATAAATCTCACGAGTTCTTTATAATGGCCATTAAAAGAAGTCGGGTTAAAACCCTCAAAGAAACATATCAAATCTCAGGGCTAAGGCAATCAAGTCGAGGCACAGGTGTAAGCAAAGTTGTGTCGTGAGCCGACGAGTCGGCGATCAACCAACCGACTTGTTATCAGTGATAACAGAAAGTGATCCTTGTAGGATCAAGCTGAAGCTAGTCAGAATGGTGGATCACATGTCCAAAGAGGACCTGTATCATAAGACAGACCAATGCCCAAGCTAAATCGTCAATGTGTGGAGATCAAATTTTCATGACACGTTCTCACTCAAATCTCTCCTGATAGCCAAGCCTAGGTCTATCTCTAAGCCAGTGCCCAAAGAAAGGTAGACCTATGGCAAAATCTCCCCTATACAGAGTGGATCACCAGAGTCTCCACCTGTCAAAATATAATCTATCTCCTTTCAACTAGGAAAATTTCGGCAGCGCTTCCCGTAGGAAAAGTGCCTTTCCAGAATTTATATCAGCCTAAATATAAAAACAGAAATAATCTTCAACCTCCAAAGTCACATTTTGTCTAACTCCCGGAATTAGCAAAAAATTGGGCAGCACTCCCTTTTGTACTAAGCCATATATATAAAAAAAATCAGACAAGTTGAACTTTGAAAAGTCAAATTTTGACTAACTCCTTAGATTTGCAGATATTTCGGCAGCGCTTCCCGTAGAGAAAGTAGCTTACCAAAATTTATACAAAGCTAAGTTCAGAATTTTGACTTCTCAAGGTCCAATTTTGTCTAACTCCCTAAATTAACAAAAATTTGGGCAGCACTCCTTTTAGAAAATGAGACTTTCCAAATTTTTACTAAGTCATATATAAATGTCAGACGATTTGAACTTTTGAAACTATAAAATTTGACTTACTCCTTGGTTTTGTAGAAATTTGGGCAGTGCTTCCCGTAGAGAAAGTGGCTTACCAAGATTTATACAAGACCAAGTATAGTAAATGCTCCAGAAAATGCAAAAATTGATCTAAGTAAAATAAACTTAGCTCAACAAATGCAAGAATTGAAACTAACTCCTATGACTCTCGCACGCGGCCAGCAACTAAAGCAACTACCTGTCAAACTGAAACTCAGACTAAGTAGTAACCACACTCAGTCACATGCAGGTCAAACCACAAGGTAAGTACTCTCACCATCCCAGAGTAAACTTAACAAACAATAGTTCATAGTCTTTCAATGATTTATCCCTTTATACCCAGCTTACATAAGGCATAAAGTCAGGCCACCCAAACTTATGGGACATGCCTAACTTTGCCATTGAGTATACACAAAACAGAGGGCACAACAACTTTTCTCTTCTTTGGGCACATGACTAGGCCGCCCTAGTCGCCCTGAACCGTTTGTCTGCACTTTGTCTTTTAAGGTAACATATGACTGAATCGGTTATCTTAGATCAAGGTTTGGCTTGTCCCTTCTTACCACAAGTTTACTCTTAATTAGTACTCTCTTCAGTTGGTGATAAGCTATAGTCAGACCACCCAAACTTAAAGGACACTGTCTGACTAGCATGTTCATAGATAAATAATAGTAAAGTATAGCCAATAACCTTTGGGTTCCAGCATGTGCGAGGCATTGGGCCAGACTACCTAAACTTTTAGAATAGTCTGACTCTCTGCCTGGTTCATTTTTCTTAAAGCCAAAGCAGGAAGAGGTTGAGCCACCCAAACCTATGGGACATACTCAGACCTCCTCGTTCAGAACCAAAGGAAACAAAAGAAACCCAAAATAAACAAGGCAACCAAACCACCCAAACTTATGGGACAATGCCTGGTTCCTAAAAAGTCAATCACAGTTATAACCCTCACAAGTCACAGCAACCAGGCCAACTAAACTTATAGAATGGCATGACTCTCCATGCAATTCCATAGCACCGGGTCTCCCAAACGTATGGGGACTTCCCAGCCTCTAGAGCAATCAGACCTCCCAAACTTATGGAATGGTCTGATGCTCCAAGCAGTCCAAAATAAACACAGCACTGGGTCTCCCCAAACTTATGGGGACTTCCCAGCCTTTGGTTGACCCAGTCAAAGATGCAATACTGCCTTCCTCCCATCCTTCCCCCCAGATGCAATCCCACAATCTGCTTTCAGTCAAACAACAACAACCGAAACTGAATTTGCACAATCAGTCCTTTTCTTAGTCTGGATTGTATCCTGAAAGTCAAACTGAAAGTCAAAATAGGGAGACAGGCAACATACTCAGTCAAACATAGTAATGAATACAAGTAGGGGCTATACTGGGTTTATAAACGGAAAGCAATGATTACCTCTTAGTTCCCTGCCTCCAGAACTCCTCATGAGTTCTGGCAGAGCTCCCGCAATTTGTGGGCCGACTCCCCACAGAGTCTTGCTGCGGTCCTACGGGTTGCAATCCTGCGTGCCGCCTTCCTCTCAGAACAGGGTTAGACTTAGAGTAAGGAAGATAGAATGAGGGGTTTCAGACTCTCGAGATACAGGACCTCAACTCGCAGGAGAGGGCCTTGAAACCTTCACTCGCCTGAGGGCCCTGCAATGATGGCCAAAATCGTGCACCAATACGGTTAATCGAAGCTAAACCTCCTACCGTTGACTCCCTGACAATCCCCCAGATCGCCGCAATGCCCTTTCCTTTTGAATGAACCCAAACCCACCGCTGAGCCCGTGACTCAAAACGTGAGGTTCACGGGTAAGTCCACTAGCTTGCGACTTTTTCTTCAGTCACTTCACTTGGTAGGATGAATTGTGCTGCGCTCAATAACCTAGTCCGCACCTCGCCATTGGCCTGTCGTGGCTTCGTTCCACCACGATCTGCGTTGTCGGCGAATGCGGGAATATGCAATCCTCAACGCGTGTCCCTTGTTGCTCCAAACAATAGCGAACAACATACCAACCCGCAGGTAAGCCTCCAAGCGTTCAAGATGCAACGAGTGTGACTCTTCAAATTGCAAGTGAGCCTCTCCCCGGTATGGCAGTCCTAACTACAGGGAGCAGTCGGGCCACCCTGTCCTACACAACTGAAACACCCCCTTACTCAACTGGCTGTAAGCAGTATTTTTCCTGTCCCTCAGTACTGAGCAACTGCGGCTCATGCACACCACCTCGGCCAGTAGACAGGGTTGCAACCTCTGTAGCTTTCTCCCGACCACTCCACTTATAGAGATGAGCAGCGTACCAATCAGTAATTTAGCTCCCAAACCTTCGCTGC